GATAAACTTAAATAAACCTTTAGTTCTGGTAATTTTCTAAAATACTAGTAGAAATGGTTCACGCAAAAGTGTAGCATAGAGCTTTTTACCGTCCCCGTCTCCACTCACTTTCCTCATTCCCTTTTAATTAAGTTCAAGAAAACCTTTACACCCAGAAGGGCAGAGAGAGGTAAATGACGTAGAATTTGGGTTTTTGAAAACTTACAACTCCCTTTCCTCCTGGAAGCCCGCAAGTATCCATGAAAAAGGAACAGCATGCTTCCCATAGTTTTTTCTTATGTTCTTATTTTAACTTTCTCTCCACTGTCTTCCATAAAGACTTTCAGTGGCAGCCTGGCCTCTTTTTTTAAAAATCAATGGATTCTGTGGTTTTTTTTCTAACATTGCAGTCGGTACTAGCTCATATTGGCTTTCTTTGAGAGGATTCTAATCAGCTGATTCACGATTATGCAAGGGATTCAAAACTAATTGCATTAGATAATCATAAGCGCGTCAGTTACATGAGAAGGGATAACGAGAATCAAATCGTCCGACGGCTCAGACAGGATACTTATGCTAAGAATTCCATCCCTTTACTTAACGCATTGTCAGAGCGGACCCATGAATAAACAAAAGTTGTTGAAGCTCATTTTTCAGATGTGCTATAGCGAGTATTATGCAGTGAACCGTAGCGGTACCGTAAGACAATACTTTGATCGATTTTGTGTGCATCGCAAACATTGTCTGGATCGTGGAATTGACGAGTCCTGTCAAACTTTGGAGCAGCTGGATAAAGGAATTCAGGTACCAGCAATTGTGATCTATGCTGAGTAATGTTCGTTGTTTCCAGAAAACTTTCTTCAAATATCATCACTCAAAGCCATCGAGAAAAACGCTCATGCACAGTCGTTTCTGTTGTTGTGAGACAGATCGTTGCAATAATTTTGATAGCAAAATGGCTTTCGACAAATTTGGCATCACTTCCACTTCACAACCTCTGCCTTCAATATTCCATGTGATATTAACACCTCTTGCGTATCTTATTTTGAGTTTTTGCATTCAATAAATTATTG